CATACAGCCTCCCAAGACCACTAGGTATTCACTAACCAAATAACAAATGGAATTGAATGTCCACATCAGTTTCACTCTCATAATCATCAGATAATCCATATACTGCAAAGTAGTCATAAAATTCTTTGCATGTGCCAAAGTAGAATGGTATATATCACTTTCTTTCTACTATGAAAAGGCCTATGGTTGTCTCCACATCATTATTTTTTTTTTATTGTAAATATCATTATAATGTAATTCAACTATCATGGCTCATTCCCCCACCAACTCCTCTCCCTCATGAGTGATAGAATGCCAAAAAGGACCCACCACACAACGGTTACAGCAAAATTGTTGATATTATAGTTCCTAATTTTTTTTCTTGAAAAACAGCGCACACCACCCCACAACGGTTACAGCAAAAATATTGATATTATATTTCCTAATTTTTTTTCTTGAAAAACAGCACACAGCAGACATTGAGGTGAAGACTTTTGAACAATAAATAATACAAGATACTTCATCTAAAAACTAAGAAAATAAGATGCTTAAGTTGTGAGTTATGACTACCACTTAACGTATCTTCAAAGAAGAATTTTTCCAACCCCTTTTCAACATTCAACTATTCCAATCGGCCATATCAAGCTCCACGCTCAACCAATTATTAAAATCACCAAAATTCATTCGCATTGCTGGAAAGTGGAAACACTCTACTCAGTCACACGTTAATTCCAGTCCAGATAACAAGATGTTCACATCAACCGCAGCGGAGATATATAAGAACTGATACTTAACTAAAATTAGCAAGTCTAATTGAGCAATGAAACACAAAACATCGAGTTATATCAAATAATCGCTTGGGACAACACCGACACACACTAACACCACGAATTTCAATCGAGAAATTTCAGTTGCGACTGCACGATAAAATTTCAGTTTCAAACCAATCAGCGGACATGATTGAAATTGAAAAATAAAAAAGCAGCAAGTATTACCCCAGGAGATTAACTCTGAGATGAATGCTGAGCTCGATAAAAAGTTCATACATCTGGCCGATATCCGCCGCGTTGCCGTGCGAGTAAAGCAGAGTGG